TTATTAATATGGAAAATTACCAATTAATTTTAAAGGTTAAAATGAATTCCTGGGATGATTGATACATTGCTAGACTCAGTTTGATAAAATTTTTAGGGTTTTTACATCTATGTTGAGAAACACTAGTTTTGCACTTTTCTTATATTTATTAGTGTCTGTTTACAGTAACTAGCGATTGTGGGGAGTTGATACATGTACATAACACATCTCAATTCTTTCTATTTGCCCCACCCCACATTGTTAAATAGAAGTCACCAGTGAAGCTCAGCTTGGCCTAGATTTTTTCCTATCAAATGATGCTTATGAATTAAATTTCTCTGGTGTGTCTTCCAAAGAATTTCTCATTTCATCAATGTCAATTTGTTGGCACAAAATATATTTGTTTCTTACTTATCTATTTTGGGCGCTGGGGATTGAACCTAGTGCCTCTCATTTGTGTTAATATCCATAAAATATGCAGTGATACCCTTTAATCCTTGATAGTAATAATTTTTCCTCCCTTCTTTCTGTATTAATTGGCTTTTTATATTTCATTAATTTTCTCTATTCTATCATTCCCTTCTTTCTACTTATTTTGGATTTAATTTGTTCATCTTTTAATTTCTTAAGAGAGAAGCTTAGGTCATTGATTTGAGTCCTATTTATCTAATGTAAGCATTTGATAATATAAATTTCCTTTTGAGCACTAAGTTGGCTGTATCCTATATACTTTGATGGGCTATGTTTTAATTTTCATTCATATGAAAATGTTTTTCACTACTCTTGTGATTTTTCCTTTTACCCAAATATTTGGGGATTTGTCATATTATGTCTTTGCTATAGATTTCTCCATTAAGTCCGTTGTGATCAGAGACAACAGTTTATGCGGTTTTATGCTTTAAATTTGTTGGCAGTTGCTGTTTAGCCAAGAATGCTTTGTCTTGATGAATAAAGGACTCTTACTGGTGAAATGTTCAGTAACTATCAATTAGGTTAAATTGGTTGAGAGTATTAGTCAAGTTTTCTGGATCTTTACTGATTTTCTGATTCCATCAGTCACTGGGAAATCGTTTTCTGATTCCAAAGTAATTCCATTTTTTCTTCCATAATTATCATGGTTTCATTTTCACGTTTACATTTTTGAACCATGTGAGATGTCTTAGGAACACACAACTAGATGTGGATGCAAGTTCTTGTTTTTCTTCTTTCAGCATCAGTGTATTTCATCAATGTATTTCAGATAGCATAATAAAGATGGCTTGTATTTAAAACAAAATTATTTTAGGATATGGTTGGCACATAACAAACTTTTAAAATATCTAACATGTGTCCAAAACTAAAAAAAGAAGTCATAGGGGAGAAAAATAAAAAGATAGAGCAAGTGGGAAAAGCTTATTAAATTATGCATATCAGTCCTGTATATAACAGTGGTTATTAAATACTTAATAATAACTATTACTAACACTGTATTCTCTTCTTTTTTGACAAGAATTCCATCCCTATGAATAACCAGTTCAATATAGAAATATTCTTGAGGATAATTAGTTGCTCATTTTGCAAAATAAAACAAACAATAGGTAACACCAAAAAAAATACTGGTTTACTTTACCTAAGTACCCTGTTTCCAGGTGTTTTGCTCAAAGTTATGCCATAATCCTATGACATATTTGAGATTCCTGGTACGTTCTATTTATCACTAAACTATTTATTTGTTAATACTGGACTTTTCTGAATTTACTGAAGTATAAATGTGTGTGCTCTAGTCACAAATTTTACCCCAAACTGAGTACTCTGTATTGTTTGTGACAGGGAAAAGTCTGTAAGGCACTAGTATCTGTGCACAAACTTTTGGTTTTCTCTGCCCCCAAATCTGAGGAAAAACAAAGAGAAAAAAGAAATCTAATGTTTCATATTTAAAATTAAATACTAGCCCAAAGAACAATTCAAAAGTAATCAAGCAACTTACATTTATCAATTGAACTGTATAAAACTCCATTTCAAATCCCAAAGACACCTATAAGAGCCTCAAGATTATCCATCTTTATAGCTGAGTAGCTTTCCACTGTATTCATTCTGCGGTTGATGGACAAGCTACCCTGCTTTTTTCTGGGTCTCCCTCACATGGAGCATTGTCTTGTCTCCTCCAACATTCAGTCCATGAATTTTCTTTCCAGTCAAATGTGTATCTGGTATATAGCATATTGATGGATCCTGTCTGTGGACCTACACTGCCAGTATTTCTTTTTATTGGTGAATTGAGGCCACCTGCATTAACGGTTATGACCGTCACGCAGTGGCTCACCTGTGCCATGCTGTCCTCCAGCTGTTGGTCCCCATCTTCCCCCACCACCCGATCAGCTGTCTGCCCTGTTTAGCAAACCCCATCTGAAACAATCTTCTTTTTAGAAGATATGTTCCCCTTCCTGCTAATTTTACATATGGTTTGATTTTTTTTTTTTTTGAGCCATATCTACATTGGGTATATTGTAGTCAGGGGTTGTTAGGAAAGCAATTAGAATCAGGACACAGAATTTATATTATTATTTTATGATGGTCACCCAGAGTGAAACACAAAGTGCAGGGAATCTGTCCACAACACTAAAGACCCAGAATACTCAGCCAAGGGCCTGGATCCCACAGCAATGTCCTGCATGAGTCCAGATGAAAACCTAAAGCCCATGACAGTGCTTCCCACGAATCCAACTGGAGTTCTAGAGCCCACAAGAAGGACTCACGCCAGTCTGTTTTACTGATCTGCACTGGGAAGGCCCAAAGGTCAGTGGTGGAAGCTAGAAAGTCTATGCCAGCGCTGTGAAGGAGCTGTGCGGGTAGGGTGAGTGTTATACTGCAGCAAAGAAGTCACATTCAAAATAAAGACCAGGGCTGTCCTGAAAAGCACCAGAGCCATCCTCAGCAACACAGAGGTCCCGAGCTCCTCCAAGGATAGGAACAGTCTCATACATGCCGGAAAGCCAGAATGACAAGTTTCTCCTGGAAATTAAACAGTACACACCTTCCCCTCTGAAGGCAGGAAGCGATGCTCAATGTAAGGACAAGAGCTCCCCAAAGTGAACCACAGCTACCCTCACCAACAAGGTTCTGAGCTCCTCTGATGACAACAGTCGAACTCACACTGGGGAAGCTAGTCATGAGGAGCTCCTCCAGGCTCAAACAGCAACACTTAGAGAAACCTACAATACTGTGCTCTTTATACTGTTGCCAGTATGAATACTGTGTATTTACGCTGGCAGCTTTCCTCAGGTGGGCCATTTACAGGCAGCACCATGCTGATTTAATTCAGCTGGTGTTAAGCTGACCACTGATTTTTAATCCATAACAGGGTGTAAAATCAAAACAACCCCTTAGTAGCCCTTTAGAAGTACTTTTATAAATCCTATGCATCCCTGCTCGCCAGCAGCAGCTTTCAGTTTATTACTAAGCTGTCCATAGATCTTCTTTTCACAGGGCTTGTGCTACTGCTGCTGCTGCTGCTGCTGTCCCTTCTGTCATCATAGCCCTGCCCCGAGTCCCCAGCTTTTAGCTTTGGGAAAGCAGTTGTCACACAGCTAAGATTTAACAGAGCAGTTGTGCTTGAGGTGAAATTGCCTCTGGTCCCATAGTGACGGTAGGAGAGACCCCTCTAGGGTTCCCTTGTTTCCCTATCCTTGAGCTCATCTGTACTTGGTCCTCTTCTCCTGGGCAATACCATGAGGTTCACCCCTAACCTCTGCTGGTTTATTTTTACACAGCCCCTGCTCAGCCAGGTCTCCCCCGTCACCCTATTGAATCCGCACACTATTCCCCTTTTCACCTAGCAGGCTCTCACCTTCTTCCCTGTATTTTACCCTCCATAGCACTTACCTTCCAATTATTTTATATTTACTTACAGATTTTGTTTCTGTTGATCTCTTCCCTGTCATGTAAACTTCACGCAAGTTGGAGTTTTTGTCTGGATCCAAAGAACCAATAGTGCTTGGCACCGAGTGGTAAACTTTTATGCAATGAACAGTGCCCCAAGTGCAGCTTCACCAGCCTGTGACTTCATGAGACCATTTACCATTAAGGCCAAGATGGAACTGGTCCCTCTTCCCCAGGCCAGAGCCAATATGAATCACAAATGTCCCTCACTTTCCCAGAGAGAAGGCAAGACTTCCCCAGATCACTTCCCCGTTCTGTTCCCCTTTCCATGGAAGTGCAGCTTCTCCTCAGCCAGATCCCCCAACCCATGACCAAAGTTGGTTTCGCTTGGAGCTCTGGATTCCATCCCAGCCTTCTGCTGCCTGGAGCCCATGTCCCACGTGTACTATGTGATATTTAGAATCCATGATAATTGCCTAGCCATAGAAAAGTTATGCAATTTTAACTACTTAATAAGTTAAGAAATACTAGATCCACATCTTTTATGCATAAAAGCATCTAACCATTGCATTAACCAGATTTCCCATCACTGGGACAAAACTGACACTCACAACTTAAAGGAGAAAAGACTTAATTTGGCTCAGAGTTTTGGGCTTTCCATTCACAGCCAATGGACTCTGAGGCAGAAGTGGCATGGCAGAAGGGCATGACTAAGGAAAACTGTTCATCTCATGACATCCAGGGACCAGAGAGAGAATCGAGGAGCTAGGGAAAGTGATCCTGTTACCCTCCAAAGGCAGGCTCCTGGTGCCACTCCTCCAAATATGTCCACTTCCTAACAGAACAGTTACAGACTCATCAATGAATCAGTCCATCAATGGTCAGTGTATCAATGGATCAGTGCGTCAATGGATCAAGTCCACAATGGATCAGTCAGTCAATGGATCAGTGCATCAATTCCATGAATGGATCAGTGCATCAATGGCTCAGTCCATCAATGGATCAGTCCACAGTGTCCCCATGACCCAATCACCTTCCAGAAACACCACCTATGAACACCTGAGGGTTTTGCAGGATATTCTAGACCTAAGTCATAACAACCATACAATTAATAGTGTAATCAACACATAGCAAACTCAAATAAAATGTTATAACACAAAATGTTTCCAGAAAGATATATTTTAATGATAATTGAGCAATAGTAAAGTTTTCTGTGCATGTCTGTTGTAATAGTAAACATGTACTGTGGAATACATACAGCTAAACTGATAACCCAATTTGTTTTATCATGAAAAGACTGACTTCAAAAGCTATTAAAGAGACAAGAAAAAGAAAAATAAGAAAGTTTCTCTTGGAAAAGGACACTTAGCAGTTAATGGTAACAAAGTCACATTGACTAGAGAAGGCAAATAACACATTTTTAAAGCCATCTTGACATAAACCTTATTGCAAATATAAAATGCTTTTGAAGACAACACATAAAAAAGACAAAAACTTCAAAGGCACAATGGCATATTAAACAACAAGTTTGGCTAATGTTTATTAAATTATGAAGTCTTACTTGACAAATTCCCCAGAAAGTACAAAGCATTTTGTTTTCCAAAAGGTCATACATATAAAAAGGCATAAACTTGTTTCCAGAACAGCTAATATTGGCCCATAGCAAAAACTTACTTTAGGCTATTTCAACATATCAGCAGGACAGAAATTCCCTTTAAAAAGAATTTAAGCCAATACTAAGCATAAAAACAGCCGTTTACCTGAGGTTAATTTTCCGAAGCCAAACAAACCAAAAGCACAACCCTCCCCCCGCCCTGGCAATGGCACAACTGCCCTTCGTGTGCCTCCACTGCTTGTTTTTTTCCAAAAATCAGTTCACCACCTACTGTAATCCCAGCCCAGGAACCAGCCTGTGAAGGTGGGCGGCTCGTGGCCCTGTTTTATGATGACAACTGGAGTCCTCTTGTCTCTTCCAGAAGGATCCGTCTCAAGGTACATTTTGGCTAAAAAGAGTTCCAAGCATAGAAATTTGGTTAGTTTTTGTTAAACTAAAATAACAATGCAATAAAACTTTTCTAAGAAAGCTAATGAATCAAATTTTCATTGCCCCCAAATAGCCAAATATAAAAATTTCTTATTGATTTAGCACCATCATAAAGCCTCATTATTGCTTGAAAACTTTTCAAGTTTTATGAAATTATTCTTAAGGAATCATGATTGTTATACTTTTCAGTAAAAAGAACAGAGTATCTAAAAGAACAGTGTTACTTTAAAGGAAGATTCAAAATATCTAGGACATCATAGCCACCAAGGGTTCACCATCTTCATAACAAAATAGGGTTTGAGTGAATTGAAAATTTTTTAGAAATTATATGCTAAATTAGGTTTTTAAAAGATGTTTCTTGTGCTCATGGTTGAAATCCTTCAGTTTTAAAATATTTCATTACTTTAAGTCTGAAGATGATAGGTAAGCTACTTCTTGGTTTTGATGTGTATTTCAGGAAGAAAGGTTGAAAAAAACAAAACAAAACAGGTTATTGCCACAACCACCCACAGGACCTAGCTTACCAGACTTCAGTGATTCTGTTTTCTCAACTTCGTTGGCATCTTTGCCAATCCAAATAAATATCTGAAAAACAAAATAATAAGCACATGTGCTACTGTGGGAGCGTTTCCTTGCCAGGCCCTAGGCCAAGAGCTTTGCACGCACGGCTCATTTCATCTTTGCAACAGCCCCAGAAGTGAGGGGGTTCGCAGTGGGACCCACAGCAGGTCCTTCTCCTTCCAAGCGTTCATGCCCATTGGAGACACCTAAATTTATACCCAGCAATCTGACAATGATTTCATGCTCACATTTTATGTGTGCACAGTATTTTCTGCTTTATGATGTTTCACAAAAACGACAGGTTGGCAGTTTTGGTGCATCCGACCCTGGAGCGGTAAAGCAGACATCATTGCATTTCCAAGACGGAGGTCTAGGCTGGGAGGACATCTAGACTCTGGACTTCTTGCAGGAATCTCTGACCTAAGGCAGTGCTTTTCTCCGGCAGTGTTATACCCTATATAACTTTGATAAAGTGCTATGCTGTTTAGCATTTCAATAGCAAAGTTTTAAACTAATTTAAAAATTTGCATATATGTAATCTAGCTATATATTCTATATTCTTTTTTTTGTTGTTAAATCTGTGGGTTTAATTTTTTTCAGTACTATGGACTGAACCAGGTCTTCTGCACTGAGCAATATACCCAGTCCTTTTTTGGTTTTTTTATTTTGAAGCAGGGTCTTGCTAAGTTGTTAAACTGCCCAGACTGGACTTGAACTTGTGATCCTCCTGCATCAGCCACCCAGAGTGCTGGAATTACAGGTATTTGCCACATTCCCAGAGCAGGCTGAATATTTTTAAAACTGAAAAGTTCTCTTGAGTTATTTTAAACTTAAGTCATTTTAAAAACCACTCATTGGCTAAACGATTCTAGTCATACTAAGTTCCTGTTGTACTGTAATTTATATTAGAACTATTAGAATTCTTGTGTGTGGGACACAAAATTCACATGACTATATAATATCAATTAAAAGTATGACTTAAAAGATGTTAAATGGCAGAAGCTGGGACTAGATCCCCAATTCAGATATGATCATTGTAGACCAAAAGGCTAATGTATAATTTAACTAAATGATTTAGCCATTAGAAACAGACCTAAAACCAGCAGTCTGTGTGCTGATTCTAAGGCCCAGGCCTAATTCTACATTCTTGTTCTATATTATTTGATCCCTCACATATTTATTTTTCTCTTTTGCTGTTGTTAGTTTAGGAAGATTCTTTTTAGAAGTGACCAGATGTGTTATGTCAAATAACCACTGATGTTACCTAAATTAAGACCCATAAAACAGTAGCATACTTAACTTTAGATTCAAACCTACTGTGTATCTGCTTCTTCCCCAGGGAAGTCCTGATGACCTCTTGTCAAACACCAGAGGGAGTTTGCAATAATTTAGTCTCTCTCATAAAATTGTACCTTTTAATGTACACATTAATAAAATGAATGTATGAGAAAATCAGGTATATTTTACAAATAATTCATAATCAGAACTTTTTGTCTAAAATGATAAAGCCAAAGATAATAGCTGTGGAATTATTTCTGTAGCAAAAAACCCACTTGCCCTGAAATGTTTCTTTTCAAACATTAAATCCTGAGGCCCATTTATTACCAGATTTGTCATAGCTCAGAGCAGTCAGTTCCCATGCCATATACACATTCTCTCATTATAAAGATAATGTGGTTTCTACCTGTTCCCAAGCATCTAGCAGCATGACATCATCCTCCGCTAAGTCTTCCTGGGTAAACTCTCCTGGAACCTCTTCAATCTGAAATAAATTAAAAACTTCGTTACCAAACAGTACAGCACAATTTTTCCAATGTACAGAATATAAATGCATTGTACTACTGGAGGGCAGTGAAGAGCTTTGGTAGCCAATTTTTTTCTTCTTTTGGGGTAACAAGTGTTTAATTAAGTGTCACAAAAGATGGTGTAGTCTTCTCCATGCAGCATGCAACATAAACACTATTTCTGATTGCCTCTAGGAAAGGTTTGTACCGTCAGCACAATCCTCCTCCCCCAGTTCTTCATGGCAAGTGACTTCACAGATCTCGTCACCTGCCTAGTCTCTAAGATGCTTGACTTTATGGTCCACGTATTTAATTCTTTCATTGTGTAGGTCAAGATCATTTTAAAACAAGTCAACATATCTGGACATCTTAGTACATCAACAATTTCCAGTAAGGTGCCATTATTAAACAGGATTTTGCATGCAAATTTGCTTTTATTTTTGATGGATTAAACTATGTTCTCTGTAATTACCAGTAAATAATGGGTTGGTTTAACCCACGCAACATCAATAAGCATGTGTTAAAGTTCAACAGTACTACAGAAAATTCAGCAAGATGTCACCCCCCTGATTCTTAGGAAGGTTCTCAGTTCTTCCCTCCCCAGCCCCTGCTGCCAGGCAACTCTGCCATACAGTCAGACAACTACTGCTGGCCATGGCCTCGGCTCTGCCATGTTAAGGGGTATAACTAAGCAAGGGCCTTCTGGTGTTACAAGGTTTTGTCACTGACAAACTGACGTAAGCCCAGCCTGCAGCTCACAGGAGAAGCAGGCAGAGCCCAGGCTAGATTAACCTCATCCCAGGGAGCCACCAGATTTCTACGTGTAATTTGTGTTTACTGTACCCTTACAGGACCTGAAATCCTTATACAAAAGGCAGGGGGCGGGGAGGATTGAATATCCACAAAGAACAAGGAAACTATTTACGTTATCTTTTTACAAAATATTCACCATCACATCAAGGAAAAGGTTAGATAATTTCTAGAATCAAACAATAACTTTAGTAAACATATCAATCTATGGACATATGAATGCAGTCCTAAAAGGGAAATTTAACGCTGTGAATGCCCACATCAGAAAAACAGAACAAGTTCAAATAAATAACCTATTGAGGCGCCTCAAGGTCCTGGAAAAACAAGATGAATCCAAGTCTAATACTAGAACAAGAAGGAAATTATAAAAGTCAGAGCATATATTAATGAAATTGAGACTAAAGAAAACAGAATCAAAGAGCTGCGTCTTCAAAAGAATAAACAAAACAGACTCTTAGCTTAATCTTACCCAAAAAGGGAAAGAAAAGACCCAAATCAATGCAATTAGAAATGAGAAAAAGAGAAATCACAACAGACAACTCTGAAGTCCAGATTGTTAGAAACTACTTCAAAAACCTGAACTCCAAAAATTGAAGAATTCAGAAGAAATGGATAGATTCTTATGAATTACCAAAACTGACCCAAAATGGTGTAAAAACAAAACAAAACTTTGACTAAGCCAGTAACAGTAATGAAATTGAACCAGTGATTTGGGGGGAAAAAACACCAACTAAGAAAAATCTAGGACCCAATGGATTCACACTTGATTCCATGAGAACTGCAGGGAAGATATAACATTAATATTCCTCAAATTCTTTCATGAAATTGAGACGGAAAATATATTCCCAAAGTCATTCCTATAAGCTAGCATTACCCTGATTCCAAAACCAGACAAGAACCCAATCAAAAAAGAAAACTACTGACTAATCTCCTTAATGAACATAGATGCAAAAGTCCTTCTTAACAAGGTACTAGCAAACAGAATGTAAAAAAAATCATCAAAAACTTTACACATTATGATCAAATAGGCTTCATTCCTGGAATTCAAGGATGGTTCAAAATATGCGAATCAATAAATGTAATATATAACACAAACAGAATCAAGGACAAAAAAATCACATGATCATCTCAATAGATGCAGAATAGTTGACAAAACCCAACATTCATTCATCATTAAAAATCCTGAAGAAAATAGATATAGAAAGAAGACCTTATCTCAATCTTGTAAAAGTTATTTATGACAGTGATACTGCCAACATCCTAGTAAATAGGGGGAAATCTCTAAATTCAGGAAGAAGACCAGTCATATAGTATTATCACTCTTCTTTAATATGGTACTTGAAACATTAGCTAGAGCAGTTAGGAGAGAGAAATAAAAGAAGTATGTATAGGAAATGAAGACATCAGGTTATTTTTATCTGCAGATGACATGATCCTCTATATACCAGACCCAAAAAATTCTACTGCATACTTGTAGAACTAATAATCAGATTAATTAATGTAGCAGGATACAAACACACAAAAATCCATAGCATTTCTATACTCCAATAGTGAACTCACTTGACAACTAGTAAAATAATATCATTCACAATTGCATTAAAAAAATTAAACACATAGGAATTAACCTAACCAAGCAAATGAAAGACCTACAATGAAGGATACTGTACTTTGAAAAAGGAGATTGAAGAAGACATCAGAAAATGGAAAGACATCTATTATTCCTGAAAAGGCAGAACCAATATTGTCAGAATGGCTATTCCTGAAAAACTAATATACAGATTTAATGCAATCCCAATCAAAATACCCACAGCACTCCTCACAGAACTGGAGAAAACAATCTTAAATTTCATATGGGACCAGAAGAAGATCAAGGGATGAAGGGAGAGGAGAGGAAGGGGAAGAGAAGAGGATAAGAAAAAGAATTCCCATATGTCAGCTCTGGAAGGAAGGAAGGTAATCACTATGTGCTGCAAAAAAATACTAATAAAAATTGAAAAAGAAATTACCATTAAAAAAATTTACCAGGGGTTGGGGATTTAGCTCAGCGGCATAAGCACCTGCCTTGCTAGCAGGCGGTCAGGAGTTCGATCCCTGGAACCAATAAAAATGAAAAAGACAAAAAAAAAATTTACCAGTCATATAAGGGTTTTTAAAATCAAAAACCTTAAATATCACTGACCTGACGTCAAGCACTATTCCAGATTTTCTGTGCAATAATTAGTATTCACAACACCCATATTAGTGACTATAATTTACCTCAGTTTATAGACCAGAAAACTACAGCACGGAGACCATAAGGAACCATCCAAAGGTCACAGAGCCAATAAGTAATAGCACCAGGTGAGTGGAATCTCACAGTAGACTGGTTCTAAAAGCTGTGCTTATAAACAGTAGCTCTGCTGCCTTGTAGGGCTCTACCTGTCTGAAACCTATTTTCTCACGGTGATCATAAAATCAGACTCTTGTCACTAACAACCTTTTCCCTTAAGCTGTGAAGGAGAATGAAATGATTCCAAATATCGATCAAGAAAATAAGTACAAAGGAAATGTGCATTTCTTGTAAAGGCTAACACATTTGTGACAAAGACACCCACACACACAAATTGACTCAGATTTTTTTTTAAACCTCACTGAGAACAAAACCTAGATGCTTATTTTTAAAACTTCATCTTCCCTGAAAACAAACATTAATGTACAGCAATATTAGCAGATAATACTGATTAAAAAATTATGGACACATATACCAAAAATGAAGTTGTTTAGCTGCAAGACACAATTAATACTCAAAATGATAAAATAGTAGTTTTTCTTGTAACAGCTTTATAAAATGTAGCAAGTACAGGGATTTCCTACAAAGTAGGCAACAAACTACGATGCTCAACAATACAGTATCATGTCCACTACTAAGTATTTAATTTTTATACCAAACTACTTATAGGTTTTAAGTGTGATTTGTACATGGACAGTTCTCCAAATTTTATTTACTTATTTATTATTTCTAGCATTAAATGTGTCTGGGAATCACATACTATTTTTCGTTCCCTCAACATGGAGAAAGTTTTATTCCCCTGGGAAAGCAAAGTGTGAAACTTACAGTTGGATGAGAAGCGACTGCTGCTTAACAGAAAGTATCTAATTATTAAACTAGCAAATCCAATCACCTATAATTCATACTGCAGCTGCTGAATGCTAACACTGATGGACAGTAGCCACTGGAAGACCTCCTTGACTTATATACTGTTTTTCAATATTTTGAATGCTTTCACATGCACTGCGCCATTGACCCCTAGGCCACGCTACAGGGAGTAAAGATTATAGCACCATGGTTTGCAGGGGTCAGCGGAACCTGATGACCCCAGCTGCCCATGGCTGTGAAGGGTCAGAGCTGACATGAAATGCCTCTTTCTGTTGCTAGATTCCATCTCACAGCTTCGTTTTTCAGTTTTGGTTTTTATTAGCGCGTGTTACGACCACATTCATCATGGGGAGCTGGAATACGGACATAACACATCTTGACTCTTTCTTCATCTGCTTCCCTTCTTGTCGCCCTCTCTACCCCACCTCTTGGTCCCTTTTGCACTCACAAGGAATCTTCCAGTTTTGTTGGAGCAGCCATAAAGCCGGGGCGGATGGTCTTCGGCCTGCGTTTCCATCAGTGGTGAGGTCTGGTAGTCTTTTTTCCCTCCGAGGGAGGCCCAAAACTCCTCTGTGGAAAGCAGAATTATTCAGTGCACCCTCAGGAGCAGATGGTTGGTATTGTTTTATATTGACAATAATATTACCTGTCCTTAGCTTCCATGACAAGTTACTCAAATGTGCTAGATATCACCACTCGCTCTTGCCACCACTGGAGGGATTCACAACCCTCTTTAACCATCCAGAAATACTCCTTCCTTATTAAGAAAGGCAAGCAGCAAACACAGCCAGGTCAGTTCTGACCCCAGAGCACACACCTGGCTCCTCGCCTTCCTGAATCCTCGTGGTGCTGCACCCCAGGACGCTTGCCACATATTCTGCTCCCTTCTCCTCCTCCAGGCTGGCGCCTTTTCCTACCCAGATGTAGCCACCGTTGTGAGGCAGCTTCAGGACAAAAGCATCATTGGAATTCAATGAATTTGCATCAACATCAACCTAGAAAAAAAAAATAAGACGATGACTGAAGTTCACTGCTGCTCCTTCCAAGACGCTGTGACTGGAACAAACATGCATAGCTTCCGGCCTGCCCCAGGGAACTCAGCCAGGGCTGCACTGGGGCAGCATTAAAGCACCTAAAATGATGGAAGATGAGCACCTTGGTCACTGTCACTTGACCACCCAGCTCCCCTCAGACAGCAGCACACTTCAGTGATGAGAGGCACAGCTGCTGGCATTCTCAAGACATGGCCAGGGGTTGGTGACACTCGGGGAAGTGATGCTAAGTCCTCTCCCAGCAAGAATGAAGCCTTCTGGACCACACTTACAGGAACCCGTGAGATGTGACAATGGAGAATTACAGGAACCAGGTCTGGCTTTCAGAAGTCCTGATTTCTAACCCATGTGTCCCCTCATTGGTACAGAGGAAAATGCCCATGTGATGACAAAAAGCAGAGAGATCAGTGTTCAGACTGATGTGGCCCAGAGATGAAGCTCGGAAGCCTCATAAACAGAGAGCAAAATAAAAGACAGCTCACAGGAAGTAGGGAAATCTTTTTCCATTAGGAAGGGGACCAAGGGATGAGGGCATCAAGGAGATGGAGCTTGATGGGAAGGGGACCACGGGAGGGACCCCACAGGGAAGAACGGAGGATGAACACAGAACTAAGGTGTGTTACGTCTGTGCACCAACTCCCCATGATAAATGTAATCATTATGTACTACAACCACGGAGTAATAAAACTTTTTTTTAACTTTTAAAAAAATTTTAAAAAGAAAGCATTAGCCTGCCAGGAGAGGAAAACAGGAAGCTGTGTAAAGGACCCTGGCTAGTGCATTGTGCAGAAGGCTAGGAAATAGGGTGACTTTGTATGTGACTGATAGTGGTGCTGCAGAATGGCAGCTGGGGAAGAGACCAGGGGGATCTCAGTGCAATGTGTGGTGGCATCTTTCATCTGAAATCATCTGCGAGGGTCCACAGATGATAGTTTTACTATTAATTTCAATTTTTTTAATTCCTCACAGTTGTACAAACAAGAAGCTGATCTTCTCTTACGGATGAGATCAGTACCCGCGCCAGCACTTTAGACCAGGGACTGAAGGAGATCGCTGTGCAAGGGACCAAGACGGAAGCTCGGGAGCTCAGCTGCTCAGAGGCCAAGCAGAGGGAAACCAGCAAAACAGCTCCCAGCAGGAAGGTGGCAAGTCTGGGGAAATCACGGGGAGTGTACGCTGTCAACACCCACGGGGAAAGGGCGGTCAAGGGTGAAGGTGGACGGCAGCAGATGCCAGCAGGGAGTGACGAGACCTTTGTGAGCCAGGGCTGGGCACTGGCACACCAGATAAAGCCAGGCCCGGGGCGAGTGCTCCGGAGAGAGCCGGTGGGCAGCACCACATCTGCGTCGGGCAGGGGTGATGTCCACATTTCCGAGGATTCTTGGTCTTATGAAGGATGGAGAAATGATGACTTTCCTAAGACATCTATGGATTTCAAAGTACATGACTGAGGATATGAGAGTAAATCAGTGATACAGAAGAGAGAGAAGACTGTTGCCTGCAATCAGGGTGAATGCAGAGAGAACAACTTATAAAAGTATGTGGGAAAGCAGGAAAGCAGAGAAACCTGGACAGAGGTAGGTGTGGGAGGAAGTGGGCCTCAGCCAGGAGCCATATTTTATTCTATGTACTAATCATTTACTCAATTATATATTGACATGCCATTTTATAAAAATATATTATTTATTGCTAACGTATAGGTAATGTTTTGACATTAATAAAATAATTGATTATATGTAAATTGCTAAACATTAGTTACTAATTTTTTTAAATAGAAATAAAACTTTACATTTCATTAAATGGAAGGGGAAGAAATCACAGACCAGAGGGTGGAATTTCAGGGGAAGAGAGAAGGTGATCACACGCGTCTTCACAGCTAACGCCCAATCAGAATTACTCATAGGAAGGGGCCAGTGAGAGACCGGAGGACAGAGATGTGCTCGGAGGGTGTGAAGGATGGAGAGGGCTCGCGGATGTGGCCTCGGGCCTGCAGCATGGCCACAGTGCGCCCCTTGGAGTAAAGAAGCCAAAGAATGGGAGATGGTTGTCAGAGACCGAATGACTAAACCCATTTCTGAGGAGCCGCAGTTATTTCTCACCGATGGCAGGATTTATTAAACGGCCCTGCGAGGGTGAGATGAAACAGGGTCAAAGAGAAGATTACAGGGAGAAAGGCCAGAGGAAGCGACAGGGAGACCATGGCTGAAATCACCAAAACAGAAAAGAGAGAGGACTGGCAGCTCCACAGACGATGGCACAAGAGGGCTGCAGGGCAGGGAGAGTCAGACAAAAAGGACAGATGCCAAAGAGGCCGGGGTGAGCGCAGACAGTGCCCTGTCCAGCCCCATTCAGGTCCCTGGGAAGCGGGCACCGGGGGTTCCACTGGAGAGGGCCTTCAGGAAGGGACGTCCTCAGAGGACACACTCGGAGCAAGAAGGCAAGGGGGCGGGAGGCTTGGAGACACCGGGATGGAGGGCACAGGCTGGCCGCATGCTCAAGGATCCTCTGAAGAATCTGCTGTTCACAGGTCCAGTCTAGAGATGGGCAGGGAGGCCTGGGGGTGATTTGGGAGATGCAGGTTTCGACAGTGACACGGGTGATAAGATGTGCGATGTCCAGCATGGCCAACTCTGCTGCCCACACCTGTCACACTTGTGCACACAGGGCCTCCCTCTCCGATTCCCTGGATGCTCAGTCACCCGCACACCACCACAGGCCTTTATCCCAGGCTTCTCAAGACAGAAGGTCACCGTGTGCCTGACCTGAGAGAATGATCTGTTACAGGGGCCTTAAAATTCATGGGCTTGGCTTCAGAGATGGTAAGAAGCCAGTACCCGGAGTTTAACTTTTAATCAAACTCCCCTGGCTTTCAAGTTTGTCTCTTGATGTCCAAGTGGATTCATTATAGGAAGGCAGGGAGTCTGCCTGTGCGTAGTGTAAGGCCAGCGTTTGCTGGTGGCTGAGGAGCATTAACCAGGGCATGTTCCGAGACGTTACCTCCACAATTCTGGTGACAGATGCCAGGTTTCTCCGGACCTGAAAGAGGCGCACAGGCGGAGCCGGGGCCTGCCCTTCTCTCTTTGATGTCCCATTCTTGTAAATAATGAGTGGTTTGTCTTTGAACAAACTCAGCAGGTGAGCAGGCTCTTTGCCTTGGGAGACTCGGATCTGGGGGAGTGAGTAGGAGAATAAAAGAGGTGTCATAAGGCGTGCAGGGAAAGGGGGCTGCATTTCTAAATATGATCATAGTTTCATTTTTTTGCAAACAAAAAGTATACCAAAAGTCAGAAGCAGAAGAGATGATGATTAACAAAAACATAGGTTAGTGATAATTCACGGTCACCTAGAAATCTTTCATCACTTCGGTCACACTGTGCCTGCAACTGTTTCTGCCTTCAAGGAATGTGAAGATGTAAGCTTACCCATCTGCATCTCCAAAGGGGGAAAAAAAGATTGAGTCTGCAACCTTCTATAAAAGCTATGCTCCTTTCAAGAGCACTGGTATTTTATAGATATTTATGGATATAGTAAATCGTTATGTGTGTTGGAGCTGGTTCTGCAGGTTAAAAGATGTGCGTTCAAATGCTTCAAAAATAAGGTGACACACTACTGCATTATTATTGCTTTATGCCCACGTACGTGAGATGAAACATTAAAAATTGGCAAAAATAAACTGAATATTTGGCCTTCTCACATACTTACAGTAATCACTAAGTGTAAGATGTGTTTAAGCAGCCTAGCTTTACATGACACAAGGACTTTTCAAAGATGAGGAAACCAAAGAAAATAACTAGCAAGTTACTTGCTCGATTCCACCTACTGACACCCAATATTGAATTATATTTTCCAATTCTCACATAAACTATTGGTGCATTTTTTTTTTTAACATAAAGAGTTTAAACACTAGCTTTTCCTAGTTTCCCCTGCTTTTCGTAGTTGCTCTGCCGGGAGCTGAAGTGAACCGTCTCACCCATCCTGGCTGGGCCATTCCACATGCTGGCTACTGGGGTCCTGACACACTCACCATTCTAGGGAGACCCGGGCAGCGAAATAACTGAGCTCATAACTATGTTTCAGCCAGCAGGCATTCAATAAGTGAGAGACTAATCGTGAAAATATGTCCTCAGAGTCCCAGCACTGTGGACGAAGTTAGTGAGGAATATTTAAGAAAGACTGCTTTGTGTTTCACACAACCTTGAGGAAACTTCAACTGCCAGCACAAGGAATTGGGGCACTGACCAAGGCCCACGCTTTCTTGTGAAGAACAGAAAGAGAGTGACAGGCCGATTAAAACAGATTCAACACAATTTGAAACAGCAACACTTTCAGTTTTTTTGAACAGTATGTAAAATACTGCCATCTAGTGACTAACCTGAAAATTACCATTTCATTGTTAATTTAGGATGCAACAATTCACTGAAATTAACAAAATATAGGCCACATATTCTCCTATAAACTATGCAGTATGTAAGGCACAGTGAGTGTCTTCCCCTTTTTTAATAACTTAGTAAGGAGTAATTTTTTGGTGCCGGGAACTGAACTCAGAACCTCGCACTTGCCAGGTAGGTGCCATGCCGCTGAGATGTATCCCTGGCCCCTGGTAAGGAATACTTTAAAGACCAACTAAATAGCAAAGATAATGTCACTTCTTAGCTAGACGCATTCTATTAAAGAAATTAATGCAATCAACCAGAAGCAGAGTTGAGTGCATGTCAATAACTCAGTCTTTTTAACTTGCTAATTAATAAGCTAGCTAGCTAACTTCTTAAAAACAGTTTAATGTGTTTTTATACTTAGATCTACCTTGATAATACTTGTAAGTACCAAGATGGAAAGAAACTAGACAGAAGACCAAATTCAGTCTCCACATCTTATATTCTATGCTCTGAACTACCTGACTTACCTTAAATTTAATTATTACACCTGAAGTGTAATAATACATTTTAGAGATTTGAAAACAAGACAAAACAAAAACCTTGTATACAGCATTGAATTTTGGCTCACTCAACACCAGGCATAAGGAAGTTAACGGGACACACTCCTGCGGAGTGAACAGAAGCCTCACACAGCTCTCCCTGGGCTCACTTCCCTGGCCAAATCAGCACTGCTCTGTTCAAAGCCCAGTAGAGAAGGCATGTTTCCCAGCAGATATGAGCAGACACTGTCCCAAAAACTGGCCAGAGAAAACATAGTGCAGACAGAAAATGCCCAAGCAGCACTGTACGCAACTCAAGCTGTAGAGAAAAGGAATAAAAGAGAAAGACAGAGACAGAGATCTTAGACTAGCTATAGCAACAGGGAACAAGCATGTGTCACTCCTGGTTCCTGAGAGGAGACACACACACTGGAGTGTATTAGAGTAAACAGGGTCTCTTTGAACTTGGCATTTCATTTTTTATTAGATAAGGAAAATAACCAGCACAGACCAATGAATTCCCGTGCCTACTAATATAAGGATCCTGAAACAAACAGCAGATACTCCACCATACACGTAAGAAGAGGACCATTTGAACTTAAGATGAAACGTTGAGCCAGGCTGCAAAAAGCCTCATCAGTGAGGCAGTCAAAACGGACACTGGTATCATCTGATACTTGTACAATCAGTCAAGACACTATCTCTTTCTACTGTTTTCTGTTTGTATCAGTCTGTCTTTATGTACACATATATGTGTATATGCTGTAAACGTGTGTATACACATGCACACACAGAACTGGATTCATTTATTTTTATCTTTAATTGCTATTTTGAATTTGGGTTCAGTCATGATCAACAAGTTATTTAACAGAGAAAGAGCCCATTCTTCTCCTTCACTCCAACCTCTGCTTTCCCAGTTCCTCTCTCTCTCTTCTCCCTTTTCCCTTTATTTCTTCCCCGGAGTCTCCCCCACCCTTCTTCTCTGCCTGTCTACCTTACCTTCCCTCTCTTCTCACTTTTTCCCCTCTCCCTTCTCCTCCCATTTCTGTCCTTTTCCTCCTCTTCTCTCCCACCATCCTTTCACTTTTAGGTGTTGGACTTTGTTGCAGCCAAGATTCTGATATACGAAAAGGAAAAATAAGAAACAATGTTCTCTTTCAAGGTTAATCCCACTCTACCTGTGCAAAGCATAACTCAGATATTTTTTATACTTTAAGAGTATTTGTCAGGCATGATGATGCATTCCGGTAATAACAGCATTCAGAAGGCAGAAGCAGGAGGATCACTGAGAGCTCAAGGCCGGCCTGAACTTCATAGTGAGACCTTGACTCAAAAAAACCACCAAAACCAGAATATCTACAATGTCACTCTACTATTTATCTGTTAATTAGAATTACTCAGCTGAGTTTATTCTACACTGTTGTGGGGTTTTGTTGTTGTTGTTGCTGAATTATCATGCACATACTTATTATCTTATAATTCTGGAGGTCAGAACCCAAAATGAGCTATAGGCTAATTTATTCCCTGGGCTAAAATCTGGGGCAATTTTGTCAGACTACCCAATCAAGCTACAGTCTAACACAGAGTTATACTCCTCTCTTGAATAGGGACGAATTTTTCTCCTTGCCTTTTCTACTTTCTAGAGGTTTCCTGTGTTCCTCCTCTGGGACCCCTTCTCTGGTCAAAGCTGGCACCACCAGGTGTGTCATTCCCACACCGCATCCCTCTAACTCTGCCAGCCACTCTGCCTGACCCCTAAGGACTCTGGGTAATCCAGATCATCTCCCTACCTCGAGGTGCACTAATAGGGAAACCATAATCCTATCTCCAACCTTAACTCTCCTTTGCCTTTTAAGACAACACATTCTCAGGTTTCCCACAGACCATGTGCCCACTTGGGGGCACTGTTCTGTCTACAGCCACTTAATAGTAGGAAGTGATAACACAGGTAGAACCAAGGTTCAGTGTCAGATTACTGTCCTTGATATAAGACTCTTTGGGGCTCCTAAATCAGTTCTCAGTTAGTTGTTGCTTTTATTTGCTCCTCTCTTTCTAGGACTGAGAGAACTAGCATGGTACAAAACCAGGAATATTTGAATTTCAAAATGAAAAGAAGGTAATTTAAAGAAAATGTCTATTTCCCATACCAACATGGGTGGGAAGCTCTAGTTTGTAACTAAGCTAGCGAGCGATACTTGGACTTATGATGTTAAAAGCATCACAACCTGCACGGCCTCCCCTCCAAGGGACCGATCCAACTGGACAGTCAGGAACGCAGACATGGTCAGCTCATCTCGTGTGGCACTAGCTCCTTGCCTAGAGGAATGAAAGTAAAATACATTAGCTTGTATTTAAGTTTTAAGACTTTCTCATGCAGGCATTTAAAAAAAAAGACTTTGGTTATTATGGAAGATTAAGAAGAAACTAACCATTTTGAATATGATACAATGCTCTGTCAAAACTCTAGTTGGTTTCAAACCACTATGAGTGAGCCCTGAATTATCCAATGTGCTTTCTAGAACTGGACATGGCAGCCATTTTTATCCCCATTTTAACAAAATTAGGCCTTAGCTGCTTACATAACTTAGTCAAGCAACCTTCAAGTTGGACTCCCAAGTTGCTGCTTTCTCTCTCCGTAGAGAAAATAATCTGTCTGAGTGTAACCCCACAAGGCTGTTATTAGAGTCTTTTATTTTCCATGAGTAGTTAAGGAGCACAGAACCAAATGTCTGGAATGCAGAAAAATCAAGAAAATAATTACCAGAACTAAGCACCAGAGAAGCTCTCTTTTGCCTTACTGAAAATTCTATAGAGACTTATTAATGAAGGCTAAACTGTCAAGAGCCAGAAAGGGATCAATAAATCAATCCATCCAGTTCGTTTGCAACTGTTCTTTACAGGGTGGCTTGTGGCTGCAACCCTGCATCACCTTCAACCTTTGAGAGGCCTGCCTATTGGAAGGCAAAAAACAAAATAAAATCAAACACCCCAAAGCGTTTATTGGACATTGCTTTTAGCCAGGTCTGTCCTCTCTGACTAGAAGTTAGTAGAAAGAATATTAAACTTTTCACTAAAAATCATGACATAATACATTTTGAATCCTGTGTTTAGGAAAAAGCAATCCTCTGTGACATGATGTCTTCTTTATAGATCTGCGGTGCTTGGTGTTCATTCAAACTAAATGCTGGGTTAAAATGGAATGTACTACTCGACTCTTCTGTTGTCATTTTCCAATGTTTGTTCCATTTCAATTGCCTAATATTTCAGAGGAAAGATCACTGAGGAAATTATTTTCCTGCTATCCTTTCATAACTGACAAAGACACATTTGTGAACTCAGAACTTGATTTAATTCTAGACTTGCATCTCTAACGCTGCTTCCTGGACCTCATGTACTTCATCCCTATATCCAAATTAGCACATAAGCTGGAAATTTGTTTAATTTGAATGGCAGTCTTCAAAAGAACTACTTATTTTCTTCTTTTTTATTTTAAAAAGGATATAGCCAAGGAAAATAAAACAACAGAAAACCAAGCAAAACAAACCAGTATAAGTGATACAGGATTAGAATCAATATGAAATCAGCAATAGTTCCCATTCTTTTTTTTTTTTTTTTCTTTTTCTTATTTTCTAAATGTCTCTTTACTACCTTTATGGAAACTTTTGAAATTCCACAAACCACCCAACATGAATAAGTGTATACGTTTATATTTAATATTTGTGATTTTAAGTGGCAAAGACCTGAAACTCTCAAGTTCTTCTAATTCTCAACACTTCAAATTGGAAAGAAAGCTAAATGAGCCCCCTGCCTTCCAGAGCCGAGGCCAAGACAGAAACTGTTAACATTCTCATTGTCTTCCTTTCTGTTTGCAGAGCGGGCCAAGCTTGTCTTCCCAAGTTCCTTCCATGCACTCTCCTTATTTATGTTCAAACAAAAAGCCTGGGCATCACCCTTAACTTTGTCAAAGTCTCAGCTCCTCATAAGTAGTTTCTCTGATGCAGACTCCTGAACATAAAGTTTGCAAATCTGCCTCCCTCTCGTATCCCTGCTGCCATTGGGTACAGTGAATACGGGCCCCATTATCATTCAGCGGGATTTCTGCAACAAATCCCATCAGCTTAAAGTCCTGCCAGCCAATCCATTCCTGCCACGTCAAGAATAATTTCTCTAAAAGGAAAACTAATTATGTCACTCCTTTGTATAAACTCTAAGAGCTCCCAATTCCCTGAAACAAACTTCGCCCTTCCCAGCATGACTTAGCAAGCCATTCACAATCGGGCACCATCTAATTGCTCCCACCCTCCGTCTTTGCTAGGAGAGGGGAGCACACGTTTACCTGCACTGCTTGGAACTGTTCTGCTCCTTGCTGGTCTGACTACAGCAGCTCCCCTTCGCTCCGACACACAGGCCACTTCTAGGAGCCTTCACCAATAGCCTCGGAGTGCATGGAGTGTCTGCAGTTCCCGGCAGCTCACCTCACTTGCTCACATAGATGTGCCCTAGAAACGCCCTCTTGACTCACTTAGTCCTCTTCTGCTTGACCTAAGTGCTACTAGCAATTATATTTTGCACATTCAAAACAGAATTAAAACAAAGACTATGAAGCCAAATGAACAAAAAAGTTGCGTGGGAACAGCTAATTCATCCCTATAAATACTGTGCTCTGCACAAACACTTTTCTAATTAAAAATTTGTAAAATATACAGCTCCAGGCCCGAAATGCTGCTCCACCAGACACAAGAGTTGTAGCACTGGATTAAATTACTTTCCTATGATCCTCCTCACTATTTTTTATGTAAGAGCAATAATATATCAAATAACTAGCACTTTGCCGGCACCAGCATGTCACTCAAAAAAAGGGGGTGGAGTTCCCTAGACAACTTGACCATTGAATGAACAACCAAATGCATTTATCTTGGAAAAAATATGGGGGGCGGGGGTCAGTGGAGTCAGCAATGTCTCTGAGTATGGGTTCTCATTTAAGGAGTGTGTATCAGAAGCTCAGGAATCCCATCACCAGAGTCTGGTTTACTGAGCGCTCTTCCAATAGTCTAAAAGCAACACCTCAGGCAGTGCCTGTCAATCACTATAGTATCTACAAGTCCAGCAATGATCCTGTACCATCTTCCTTAGTAAGTCGAAGGTAGGGCCTGAAAGCCTAAATTTGCCACAGACCCACCCCCCCCCAATGCTTCTGGCTGCCAGACCACTCTGACTATCTCCCACGTATCTCCTGCACCTAACTGAACCTGAGGCACTGGGAGGCTCAAACAGTGTGACTGGGAACAGTGTGAGACTCACTGGAAGAAACATCACCATCTCCACAGAGTCCTGCTGAGTTTATTCCACCTTGCTATTGTCCCATAGGCAAAGGGAGAACCCTGCCCTGACCTTGTATTTTCTACCCACGCTTCTCAGGTGTAAGATCTTTTTTAAGTATAATTTCCTGCTTTCTAGTCTTCTCAGTAATATTCTATTTCACCTCATTTCACTTAATACAAACTTAGAGAATTGCACATTAGTATAGGATTTGTTTCACGGTCCCTATGTTTGAAATAGCCCAGTGGTGGGGGAGGAGGCATGTCCATTACTGGATTGAATGTCTGGTTCTTCATCTGGGTGCAGGGGCTCTGACCGAGTAAACCTAGCCTTCGAGCTACAATTGTGATGGAAAACCTTGTAGCAGGACACACTGGCATATTTTCCCCATCCCTGCTATCAATTTTATGGGAATGAAGACTAAAGATGCGTTAATCTGAGGCCTCTGGAGTATGCATCGATGAAATCACCAGTTATATCTCCTACTGAGTTTGCCTTACCACCACTTCATAGCTTCAATCCCGGTGGCCTACGTGAGTTTTCACAATAGAAAGTCAGCACCCAGTGCTGGCCACTAGAGTGTTTGCCTGCATAGGAAATGAAATATCAGACCACAGATCCAGCAGGAGAACACTACTATTTGGGATGTGAAAACCTGTTATGGCTTGGTTTGTGTCTTGATGTCCCCCCAAAGCCTCACGCAGTCATGGGTGGGACTTTTTCAGAGGTGGCAGGATCTAGAGTGTGTGACACCAGGATTGATTCACGGTGCAACGCTAGCCTCAAGGGCACTAGAATTAAGAGTGTGAGTGCCTGAACAAAATATAAAGGTTAGAAAGAGCTGTGGTCTCCCTTGTTGCCTTTGCTGTCCTCTGTTCACCATGAACTGTTCTCTGTGATGCCCCTCTGCCAAGCCACCTGCCTTGGACATGGCTATTACGGAGGACTGAAATCTCTACACACTGTGAGCAAAAAACCTTTCTCCCTTTAACTTTGGATGTCAGGTATTTTGTCTCAGCTACGAGAGAAAAGTAACTAAGACAAAACCTTCTTCCTAGAACAGAGAGGATTATTATCTCACTACTCTTGTCTGCAGACAGCAGCCATGAAGCAGTCAAAATCATGTTTAAAAGAAAACACTACGTGTATGTCATCCAAATCCCACAGGATTATGCTCCCCCATCCTGCAGAGAACTTAATACTCAACCATAATCTGGCCCCTGCAGAAACTGAGTTCTTGGGCTGGGGATTTAGCTCAGTGGCTTAAACGCCTGCCTGGAAAGCATGAGGTCATGAGTTTGATCTCTGGTACAAAAAAAGGAGCTCTTGTAGAATAAGTAGACTTACCATGTGTAGATAATCTTTCCTCTGGGATAAGTGTAGAGAATAATGTAGCAGTCACCACCATAGAATTCACCATAAGACTTTGGGTCAATCTCAACTCTACCATTGCTCTCTACCCGCCAAATCTAAGGGAAACATAATAGGTACACAATATTGAACATCTTCAATCTAATATTTCTTATAGGCTTTAAATAATTTTTATTTTATATTTATTATTAAACAACTTTTAAATTATTTTCTAGCCAGTTTACAAATCAAGCGAAGACCAGGCATGATGGCACATGCCTGTAATCCCAGAACTCTGGAAGGCTGAGGCAGGAGGATCACAAATACAAGCCCATCCTCAGAAATTTAGCAACTTAGCAGGATTCTGTCTCCAAATAAAATTTAAAAAATTTTAAAAGGGCTGGGGAGTAGCTCAATTCTGGATTTAATCCCCAGTATTTAAAAGAAGAAGAAGAAGAGAAAGAAATTTGATCAAACTGGCAATTGATTTGTTTTTCATGACTTACATTTCTTTTGCTTCTTCTACAATATTCAGCCCAGTTCTAATCCTGTTAATTATTAAATCTACTATTCAATCAATTAGTGAAAATAACGACACTCTGGTGCAATAAAAGACTAAATTATTCAACTCAGAAATATACCCATCTTTTAGAGAGTAAAACTTTTTCACTGATTATGAAATAACTTTTTTTCTTCTTCCTTTGGTTTAAGACATGAGACTATTACTTTCTGAGGCAAGAGCTGGTAGACTGTGACCAAATGTGAACCTTGCTTCAGTGGACTGAGTATCTGTGTCCCCCTACACCACTCAGTCTGAAAACTAAACCCCAAAGTGACTGGGAGGTGGGACTTTGGAGAAACAACTAGTCATGAAGGTGGGTTTGTTGGGAATTTGAGGGGCAAGGGAAAGATATAGAGAATGCCATGCTTAAGTCATACAGTAAAAGGTATACTGTCAAGAATATAAGTATGTTCACAGCAAGAAGGAAGAATTTCCAATCGGTTTAATGGCCATATGCCTTTTACTGTAACAAATTTTTGAATTTCAATATCCACCGTAGGTGATACCTTGGTTTATGAACTTAATCTGTTCTATGACTTGGGAAAGATGGCCGTGGCCACGTCTGTCACCCAGTGCAGTCTGTAAATAGAAGCAAAATTTTGCTTCTGAGGTGTGAGCGTGTTTTATGATTACCCACACTGTGTCCACCACCCACAGCAATTTCTGTCAAATAAAACATGACGTGTCCTCATCCACTTTATCTAGCAGATTCAGCATTATGTGACTTCTGGTTCTTCTCCAAAGTCAAAGGGACCATGAAAGATAAATGCTTTAAATCTATCAGGACATAGAGGCAGTTACAACAGTACAACTAAAGACCCTACCAAAAGGACTTCCAGAATTGCTCAAGAAAGTGTCAAGAATAATAAGACTGTCTGAACTGAATGCAAATATTTTGAGGGCCAGTTCATGGCAATGTGTGTTTTCCTGTGATAATTAAGAAAGAAAAAACTTTCTATGCATTTTCAATCACAAGGCATTTTCTAAAAGGGACCCTGAGAGTCCTCCAGCAACTTCTCCATCTTGTAAGGACACAGCAGAAAGATGGCTGTCTATGAGCCAGGAGACAGACCAGGACCCAACACCGAATCCATCCAAGTCTTAGCTTTGACTTCTCAGCCCTCAGAGCTGTGAGGGGTCAGTGTTTACTGTGTAAGCTGCCAGCCTGTGGTATTTTTGTTACAGCATCCCAGATGATGCCAACAACACGAATTCTATTTCTAAAAAGCACTAGCTAGGCATAAACCTGGAAGTGCTTTTATTCTGCTTTTATTCCTCATCTTCACTGCAAATCAAAGACACCCCGAGATGCAAGGATGAAAAGTGGAGAAACAGCAGAGTAACCCGTGAGGAAGGGGCTGCAGGCTCCATGTGTGCCTGGTCCTGAGGAAGAGCAGGGCGGCGCTTGGCTTTGAAATGCAGAAGTGAGGTGGAGAGGAGTGGTTCTGGGGCTCAGAGAGAAGCCCCCACGTGCCACCCAGTGAGCAGAGACACAGCATGGCCTTGCTAACCCAGAAGCCTAATACAGTCCCGGCTTTCAGCCGTAACAGGAGGCCACCTCACAGGGGCTGTGGCCTGAAATGGGGATCACTGCGGGATCCAGCCAGTGCAGAGAAGCCAAGGCGACCCCAAGGCCCTGTGGTACTGGTGCCTGTGTTGAGTTCCTAAAAGGACAGCCAAGCAGGAGACCCACCCAGGCCCAGAAGCTAAGAGCCCTTTGCTGGCAGCCCTGAGGGACATTTGTGACCTTGTCCCTTGCCATTTCCCACTCCATAAGCCCTGTGCAGCTTACATTCGCACATTGTAGCTTTGAAAGGGAATGTCTTTAATAATACAGTTTGGCCTAAGCACTGCGGTAAACCCTGGGAATGAAGCGATAAAATATTTTAATTCCTACCCTCAGGGAACTAGTGAGAGGCCTCGAAGAAATGCCCGGGTAAATGAACAATTCTATGGTAGTTACATGATAAATCCGTGGAAAATATCACTTATAAGTTGAACATCAAGAAGGCCTAGAAACGGCTTCTCACAGAAGTACAGATTATGATTGTCTGAGCTGCCACAGAGAGCAACAGCGTTAGTCAGACGGCAGAGGGAGAAATAGGAAAACCAGCCTGATGGTGAGGAAAGAGTCAGCCCTCAGGTGGGGGGCCAGCGAAATGAGGGGACCACGTCAAATCACCAAGGCCTCAAAGGCCTCGCTGACGGTAGGTGCTTTCAGGAGCCTCAGAAAAATTATAAACACTTTTTATAGACTGGGAAGTAATCTTACCCAGTTCTCATTAAATTAGCCAACTAAAGAGTGTATCGAAAGTGAAGAGATTTGAGTTAATGAGAATGATGAGGGAATTGTTAGCAATTTTAAAAAATCTAAAATGGAATAATCAACAAACTTAATTTGAATGCTCTGAAAAATCTGGTTTTAATAACACACATGCTCAATTTGCTTTCATGAATGCCTCCAACTCGTAAGGCAAGGAGAGGGAGTTTCTTCAGAACAACGGCCTCCCTGGACAACCCTCCCTCGGGCTCTCTGCCAGAAAAATTCTGGACCTAACACAAGATGGCCTCCTAAGGTCTCCTAAGGTGGTAGGTAGGCAACCTTGAATAAACTGCCTATCTTCTTAGCATTGCAACATACAAATCTGTGAAGTGGGCAGAGAAGATCGGACAGCAGGCCTCTCTTTGAGGCCTCAACTTCTATAATGTGGTATACAGTCCTGGACCACCTTTATTCCATTCTTCATCACTACATAAAATTTACATTTCAAAATGTCTGCAGTTTCCCGAAATTATATTAGCAAACACACTGGCATAAACAGGAAAACAAACAAAAGCAGGTATATGTATATATAAATACCTCCACTTTGCCAGAGCCATCATCCACCATATTGTGCTGGGCTGCCATCTGCGGAGAACTGTGTAACTTGGAGGCATCAAACGGAATTTGTTTTATCTGAGCCACTTTCTCTGTGACATAAACCTTTCCGAAGCCATCACTTTGATCTTTATCTTTCCAGTCCTTAAAAAACTGTTTAAAGATTGGTGTCTCACCTCCTTCTGGAAGAACCTGAATCTAAAATGTAAAAAAAAATAGTAACAAGCAAGAAAGTAAGAGATTGAGCAAAAATATTACTCTAGTAATGGAGAAAGAACTAAAGAAACAAAAATACTGTGCGGCTTCTGTGATTACAGATATTCATTTAGAACCCTGTGACACTAAAATAGTCCAACCCTGCTTTTCCTCAAAACTAAAGTAATTGCACTAGGTCTGAATGCTTAAGATAAGAATGAACTACTTCTGTGTGTTTGTCTTCCAATGTTAGGCTCATCAGAGATTTGTGACCTGGAAGAAATTATCTCACAGTGCTACCTGAGCCATGATACAAAGAAGAAAGGCACAGATGAGGCTGAGAAATCCAGACAGGAGAAGAGTAACTGACCAATGTCTAAAGTGATCTCAAGGAAGACGAATATTACCTTGGTACCAGCCCAAGTCTAAGATGTGTGCTCCAAGTTCAGTCAACCGCGGTAGATTATCGTGAGTTAAAGGTGTGGAGGAAGTGAGCAGGCTTTTTCTCATGATGCAACCCTAACAAAGTCTGATCTCAACTTTCTGCAAAATTGTACCCCTCACGGAGAACCAGGGACACAACACAAGACTGCACACACTGAAGTGGCGCTGACCCCCACACATGCATTTCTCCCTCACGGATTTTACAGGAATGTCACCACTGCCGTGCTTTTCACTTTCTTTCTGGCCAGTTCATTTTCCCACGTACCTGAGTATTGGCAGAGTAATTCATTTGCTGTAGAAATTGTTCCGCTGTTTTCATTGCGGCCTTCCTCTCCTCGGGATTAGCATCTTTACCTAAAGTAAAAAGTAAATTAAAGACAGACGAGGTGTCAGAGAGGAAAGGAATTTTATGATTAAAAATATTTGCATACCAAAAAATAAGCATAATTGAATTTAAATAAACCAATGTGAAAATGGCAAGTATTTTTAGAACATTTAAAATATTTCATCACAGTAATAAAGAGTATTTATGAAAAGATGCTTCTTCCATTGCCAAAATATTTTCTTTAAAACTCTCTCATCCCAGCCAAGTGACATGAGCAAGGGGAAGTATTTCAGGTGAGATTTTTATGGATTATATCTCCAAAGAGGTTTAATGTTTTCTTTACCCTCCCAAGAAATTTTACCTTTCCATATGAAAATTTTTTTTGCAGCACCATGGTCCAAAATAAAGCATTCTTCAGAAAGCAGCATTGCCATTGAGAAGGGATTTTCTTCTGCCACCAGAGTCACTTTCATGGAGCCACTTGCATCTGACACCTAACATAAAAACAAGAGCAGCACGGTTTCATTCTGGGAGGACACACGTCTTCCAAAATTACACTACAAGGATGGCCACGCAACCTCTAAGTGTACTAAGATTGACCTGCACCCTGGAAGAGCGTGAACTCTATGGCACGTGTTCGTCATCACCCGGGCACCGGTGAACCCCAGGCCCCTCCCTAGATCCGCAGTGACCTTTCAGCAGCAATCTGAATTGTGTGTTTTTAGAAAGTTAACACGAGGGATTCTGCTTTCACGTGTTTTTCTGGAACCCCAAATTATTTTCACTTATTTTATATGTTCCCTGTCCACGAGAGGGCGCCATGCCTCAGGATTAACATTTTCCATTGAAAAATAGTATTTTTTAGTCCTTAACCATGTCGATGAGGGAGAATAGCTTTGAATGGTAATGCGAATTAAATGATATTCATTAACAATAGGTTTTAGAGAAAGTAATGAAACCACAAAGTGCTCAGATAAGAATTTTTGTCTGAAAATATCAGACAAATATATAGCCATTTAGGAAGAATCCACTTCTTCATTATAAAAAGGAATGTATGTTACCCAAGTTAGCAACTCAATATTCATTTAAAACTGTATGTTTCTGAGCTAGAAAATCCTTGAAAGTGCAGTAACTACGGCTCCTTCCTGGTCCAGATGAGAAAAGTGCCACATTCTGCAGGGAACTTACTGCCTATTACACATCTCTTGCTTGGAAAGGGAAGGAACACATGAAGAATCCCAGTTTACCCATCTCTTTAACTGGGATGTCTTGTGGCGTTTGTTACCCTAACCAGCAATAAAAGCATAAAATTATACATGATTGGAAGGAAACTAAGTAATCATCTAGTGTTCTGTCTGTCTCTCTGCAAGCCCAAACTCCACTCTCTTCAGATAAACAAATCAAGGCTACGTCCTGCCCAAGGTCACAGAGCCAGTCATTCCCCAGACAGGTGCCATGGCACTAGGTCTGCCAGGACCCGGTGCAGGGCTGGTTTATCCTGCCTCCTTGCAGCTGACTGATCGAGGAGATTTTAACCCTCCTGTAACAAAGAAAGCCTTTATTATACCTACAGAAGATATTTTAAGCAAGGCAAAGATGTTGTAATCTTATCAAGACTTTAGAAGAAAAAGCTAACGAAATGTTTTATCTGATGGGCACATTTTATTAATTGAAATATATCAAAATCTTTTGGCTGCAAACTAATAGTAACATGATTTTTTCTGTAAGTTACAGCAAACATTTATTTATCATTTTCAATAAAAATAAAGTGATAAAAATAATTTTGACAAGTTTTCAGGAGAAAAGAACAGATCTTCCTATACATTTCTCTGTGACAGTAACAAGGAGTTATCAAGGACAGCAAAGAGAATCGCTCCCGTGCAGGCGTCCCCCACCACACCCCGTCCTGCAGAAAAGAGCCCGGGCCTGGCGAGCTCACCATGTACAGCTTCGCCATCTTCCTGTTACTGATGTCTGCTACAGCATCATCGTCATTGTCGCCATCCGGAAGCTCTGGCTTTTTCCCTAAAACCTAGAAAAAGTGAACAACAGATAAAAGATAAGTCTCATATTTAAAGGATGCAGAGGGGTTTTTTTTTTTTGTTTGTTTGTTTCAGATTTATTAAAACATCAGGACACACTGACAATTAAAACCACCAGCCTCATACATTTCTCATCAATTCATACAACATACACTGTTTCCTAGGGCCAAACCAGCCAATGACATTAAGCAAACAGTGAGTTCACTAGCAGTATGAATTTCCCAGAAGGCCAATCCCAAATTTGGAACCTCAGGTGTCTGGTTTTTGAAATCTTTTAGGAAATGAGTTATTCAAAAAATAGTAAGGTTTGGTTTTTTTTTTTTTTTGGTCTTTTTCCTTTTTATCGGAGTAAGTTCTTAAATTCAGTTCTGCAACAGAATTTATTCTGTGACTTCTGCTTCCAGAAATAATCTACAGTTTTTATTAATTTGTTGAACGAAGGCATCTGCCAAATGAATAAGCAAATGTATTTGTCTATTGTTCACGTGTGTGATACAATCCAAAAGCGTCAGTAAAGTATCAGGTAGAAAATACACGTTAATCTGCTGTTTAAAATATTAAACTCACCAAAAAATGTGTCTACAGACATTGTAATTATTCCATTAAATTAACTGACTCAAATACAATATGCAGATGTTAAAGATAAAAATAAAATATACTTCTTCCAAATAATGTGATTTTTATAAATATCAAGGTTCAGAAAAGAAAAAGAAGATATTTATTTAAATGCAACAGATATATAATAATTAATTTCTTATACAATGCTTTTATTCAGTATCCCTTATACTATATTACATGAAAATATACTCTGCTGAATAGCTATCAACTATTATAATGCCTACAACTAGCATTGCATAAATAAAGGTACAATCTGGAGTTAACTGTACCAGAACTCGCCCTCTGGGAGCATGACATCATTTTGTTTAGACAGTGACCAATAAAGAGTTTTAATTATCCACACCTGCTAACTCATAGAGTTTTTCTTTTTGGCTAAACGTAGGCTCATACCCAAAATTAAAGCATTTGCAAGCAAAGCTTTTTTTTAACATCTGTAGTTTGATAGAAGTACACATAACTTCTTCCTATTTCACAGTATCTATTGTACATTTCTGTTCTTACATGTTCAGTGTTTTACACCAGAGACAGAATGTGATATTTACACATGTGGCCGATTTATTTCATTTACAAGAATGGTCTGATGGCCCATCCGTTTAGTTATGCTGTTCAAAGGAAAAGGGAAAAAAAGGAGAGGAAAGAAAAAACAAGAAAAGAAGGATAAAATGAATACTGAGTTCTGCAAAAGGAGAGAAAGGGGCTTGAAAAGAGGGGATGGGAGTGGAGGAAAAAGAGGAATCAAGAGACAGCATGTACAGACACAAATTCCCTATGGTGAACGTGGTCACTCGGTATACCTAAATTGTACTGATAGCGTAAAACAAACAAACAAATAAATATTGGAGAAGAAAAAAAAAGTACACATAGACACACAGCTCATAAGAACCATCAAAAGTCTCCTCATGTACCCTTTCGGAATTCTGCTCCAACAAAGACAGTTGTTTGGAGTAAAGAATTGAAATTAAGAGTATATCTGATACTGAGTGGTCTCCCAGTGGGCCCACTGAGCTTGGATTTGGAGCATACTCTTAACTTAGTTTAGACAATTCCCATATCACCCAAATATCTTAGCCTCTCAAAGGACTATGACATAGCTAGGAATCGAACCAAAGGCACTCACTGTAAACAGGCCTAACTCCAGGGTAGAGGGTCAGGTATGTTGTCGGGTGCCCTACGGATCATTTTAAAACCCAGTTCAACAATTAAGTACTCACGCAGCATCTCACTGGGGAGTATAAATGAGTTGCCAAGCACCTTGCCCAACCTTGCCCAACCTTAAGGATTTTACAACCAGCCCAGAGAAAACACTTTCACTTTATTATAACTATGCCACATATTTTGATCTTCAAAATAAACTATCAGTCAAGTTCTTCCTTTGCTGCTAAGATCATGCCTAAATTTAAAGCACTTTCACTTTAGGTTAAGCGTATGATTGGCATTTAATTCATGCAACCTTCTGGATGTAAAATGATACCTATTATGACAAAACAAAGGGGTAAGAAAAGTCTTTTTAGAGAATCCTCCATAAAATAAAAATGTCATCAATTGCCCCAGCCAAGAACTACCTTTCGCCTCTTCCAATGCTTTCCTGTAAATTTTCGTTTAAAGTACCACGGTCTCATGAGTTTCAAACAGAACTTATTTCCCACAACACGGATCATTCTCAGTTCTCCAGCTGTGTTACCACAGCAATTCCCTTCTTACCCCTGACTTATGATCAGCTTGAACACTTCCTGTCCTCCACTCTGAATCTCCTGAATCTCCTATGCCTGGTCTCTCCACCCTTCGGCTCTAGCACTGTTCCCAAGCTCTGCTCTGAACTAAGCAGCTTCTCCAGGTCATTTCTGCTCTGCAGACACCAATCATGGTCTGAAACTGAGCTCATGACACTTCCCTGCTTTAAGTTGTGTGTGTTGAGTATCAGGTCACCTGGGAGAAAGCTGACTAATACAGGAACTCAGAGACTGGAAATACAATGGTGCATTCCAGGAACTGGCAGAAATCAGGAGGTAACAAGTCTCAGCTATATCATAGATAAGTTCAAAGATTTAATATCCAGCACAGTGATTATAACTAGTAGTAATTTACTGGGCACTTAAAATTTTCCAAGAGAATAGATCCCAATTCTCATCTCTCTCACACATACACAAACAGTAACTATGTGTGGTGGTGGGTGTGTTAATGAGCTGGATTGAAATAATCATTGCACAATGATATGTATATAAAAGCACCACTTTGCATAACTTAAACATATTTAATCTTTGTCAATAGCACTTCAGCAAGCTTCAAAATTTAATCAGAAAATGAAGCCTTTTATCTTACATCTGTCATAGTCATTCTCAAACTTCAGTGTGCTCAAGCAAAGTCTAGGCAAGTTGATAAAATACAGATTCACAATCACCAGCTCTAGGCCAACGGATTTAGGGTGAGGCCCTGGTACAGGCTCCCCACATGATTCTGAACCGGGTGTTTATCGTACAGAGCCAAAGCTCCCTGTCTGGATCCCAAGGCTCCCTTTCCCTTCTGCTAGTCAGGTGGATGCTTTCAGAGTCTCGTGGGCGAACTGTGCCCTTTTTCCTTCCCCCTGGGCTTTAGCTAATGCTGGCTTTAACTTCTACCTAACTTGGCAGGGTATGGCAGAAGCAAAACTGAGCAATTACTCTTTGGTTGGTTCAGTTAATTAAGACCATAATAGTTTCTGCTTGTTGAACATCTATGAGTCACACACTATATTAGGAGCTTTGGACACGATTTCATCCCAACAGGAGCTCCCGTGACCTAGACACAGCCAGCGTAATCTTACAGAAAAAAGGCACAGTTGTTTCTAGAGGTGAAATGGTAAGAGCTGGTGAGTGCTGAGGCTCTATAATGCCATTCCAATGACTCAAAATCACTGGTGGCACAGTCCCCTGAATCAAAGAAAACTGGGAAAATGTTTAAATGGTCAAAAGATTCTTTCCATCTAGGGGATCCAACTAGTGATCTAATAACATAAGGGTCTGTGTCTCTCCTCTGACCTGTTTCCTAGTTCAGTATAAGATGGGTAAGATCAAATAATTTTCAGTTCTAGAAATGCATATGAATTTTTTCTGGTGTAGATAAAAATAATTTTTGCCCTGAACAAGAGGTCAACTTTTCTATTAGGAAGTTTATTTCAACACTATTGCCCATCCATTTCTTTAAACTAGCTATAATAGTTTACTGGTTTCTTTATTAATCAAAGGATTAATACAAACTTTGACACTAGCCATTATATATTTGTATAAGATTCATTACTTTACTTCTTTGAAAACTATCCATGAGTATCTAGTACTCCTCTTGTCTCAACCACATGTACTGTAGTCTGTTTACATATTTATTACCTTTAGTTAGGTATTACATGTATTCAGTTAATTTTTTAACTGTGAACCCTAAGGTTTTATTTTTGTCAATTTTGAAGAGAATAAAACCAAATAAATCAAAACAGAAGAGTCAATCAAAACAAAAGGATGAGCATGGTACATGACTTAAAAACAAACAAACAAAAAAAAAAGATCAACAATGACTACTATAATGCCTCTTATTATCTGCAAAAGAATTACCCATACCATCAGGCATGATAGAATCAAACAAAATAGTACAGAATAAAAACAATAAAAACACAACAATGGAAATAGTATAGGACTTCAAAAGAAAGTAATAGTAAAAACCACAATGGGTATCAAAATGTATCTTACTGTCTTCCAAGTAATTGCCTATACCATCAGACATCATACTATCAAACAAAACACAATGGAATAAAATCAGTCAAAACAAAACAATGAAAGCAATACAGGGCTTCAATTCAAGCTAATAAGAAATCAAAAATGGTTACCATAATATATTTTGTAATCTTTGAAATAGCTACCCTTGCCATCAAATATAATACGACTACACAAACTGAAACAGAATAAAACCAAACAAAACAATGAAAACAATATGGGTTTCAAATCACAATAATAGATTAACAATGGCTACTGCCTTCCCTTCTTAGACAATTCCTCCCCTTTCACTTTCACAGGACATACTGTACATTTTGGATCCCACTAACTCCTTTAGTTTTTATACTAGGGAGGCAGCACACTATTCACCTATGTGACTGAATCTTTTTATCCCTGCAAATGATCTCAAGTTGCATCCATTTACTTACAAGAGCCTCAAGATTATCTTTCTTTATAGCTGAGTAGTTTTCCATTGTATAAAAGTGTCATGGCTTTGTAACCAATCTGCAGCTGATGGGCAAGCTACCCCTACCTTTATCTGGTTCCCTGTCACATAGAGCACTGTTTTCTCACCTTTGACGTTCAGTCTATAAACTCCCTTTTGGGTTAAACATGTTTCTTGTATAAAGCATACT